GTATTTCCTGGACTTGAATATTGGTCTGCCTTGCTAGGTTGGGCAAGTTTTCCTGGATAATATCCTGAAGAGTGTTTTCCAGCTTGGATTCATTCTCTCCGTCACATTCAGGTACACCTATCAAATGTAGATTAAAGTCTTTTCACATAATCCCATATTTCTTGGAGGCCTTGTTTGTTTCTTTTTACTCTTTTTCCTCTAATTTTGCCTTCTTGTTTTATTTCATTGAGCTGCTATTTGACCTCTGATATCCTTTCTTCTGCTTAGTCAATTCGGCTATTGAAATCTGTGTATGCTTCACGAACTTCTCGTGTTGTGTTTTTCAGCGCCATCAATTCATTTATGTTCCTCTCTAAGCTGTTTATTCTCATTACCATTTCGTCAAACCTTTTTTCAAGGTTCTTAGTTTATTTGCATTGGGTTAAAACATGTTCTTTTAGCTCAGAGAAGTTTCTTATTACCCACCTTCTGAAGCCTGTTTCTGTCAATTCATCAGACTCATTCTCCATCCAGCCTTGTTCCCTTGCTGGTGAGGAGTTGTGATCCCTTGGAAGAGGAGAGGCATTCTGGTTTTGGGTGTTTTCATCCTTTTTGCGCTTGTTTCTTCCCATCTTTGTGGATTTATTTACCTGTGGTCTTTGTAGTTGGTGAATTTCAGATGGGGTCTCTGAGTGAGCATCCTGTTTATTGATGATGAAGTTATTTCTTTCTGTTTCTTAGTTTTCCTTCTAACAGTCAGGCCCCTCAGCTGTAGGACTGCTGGAGGTCCACTCCAGACCCTGCTTGCCTTGGGCTCACCTGTAGCAGCTGCAAACAGTGAGGGTTGCTGCCAGTTTCTTCTGCTATCTTTGTCCCAGAAGGATACCTGCCAGATTTCAGTCTGAGCTCTCCTTTATGAGGTGACTCTTTGGATATACAGGGGTCAGGGAGCTGCTTGAGGAGACAGTCTGTCCTTTATAGGAGCTCAAGTGCTGAGCTGTGAGCTCCGTTGTTCCATTCAGAGCTGCTAGGCAGGTACGTTTAAGTCTGCTGCAACAGAACTCCTAACAACCTTTTTTTCCCCAGGTGCTCTGTTCCAGGAAGGTAGGGCTTTATTTATAAGTTTCTGTGGTGCTGTTGCCTTTTTTTCAGGGATGCCCTGCCCAGCAAGGAGGCAGCCTAGTCACAGTCTGCCAGCAGTGGCGTTGCTGATCTGCTGTGGACTCCGCCCAGCTGCTGTGTGAACCTCTCTGCTGTCCTGTTTATAGGGGTATAGTTAGAATTGCCTCGGCAATGGCAGCCCACTTCTGTTATGGTGTACTCTCTCTGTAATGGCAGACTGCCTCAGCAATGGCGGACCACCTCAGCAATGACGGGCTACCTTGGTAATGGCGGATGCCCCCTCCCCCACAAAGCTGGACAGTTCCAGGTTCAGCTGTACTTGCTGGGAAACTCTCAATCCAGAGCATTTCATATTGCTGGTCTTTGTGGGGGTGGTACCAGCCATGCCTGATCACCTGCCTCAGACCCGTTTTTTATTTTTCAGTTAAATGGGTGACTCTGTCTCTTAGGCATTCCAGTCGCCAGTTGAAATGGTGCTCGGATTTGTGTGAGTTCTTGTGCAGAAACCTGCTGCACTGGCTGAAACAGCCACGCTGAGGGCTCATGGCGCTTTTTCACCTGGGAATCTCCTGGCCTAGCTCCCTGTTTCAGTCCCCTTTTTTTCTGTTGAACAGGTGACTCTGTCTCCCAGGCACTCCAGTCGCCAGCTGAAATGGCACCCAGACCCGTGTGAGGTTTTTGAGCGGAGAGCCACCCCACTGGCCGAAACAGCCATGCTGGAAACCTGTGGCGCTCTTCCACCCAGGAATCTCCTGGTCTGTGGGCGATAAAAATCCGTCTGGAAGTGCAGTGACCACTCACCCTCTGTGCACTTGCTGGGAGCTGCAATCCAGAGCTGCTCCTACTTGGCCATCTTAGATCCCTCCCAGCTGATTCTTAAGAAAATCCAGACAGATTGATCAAGTAGGTATTATTGTCCTCATTTTACAGGACAGGAATTAAGGTTGACTCAGAGTAAAGTGACTTGCCCAAAGTCACACACCAATATTTGGTGACCCTGGGTTTCCTGACTCCACATCTCCTATTGGCGAAAGGGAGTTAGTTATGAGGTTTCTGTTACTTGTTTTCTGAGACAGAGTCTTACTCTGTCGCCCAGGCTGGAGTGCAGTGGCACGATCTTGGCTCACTGCCACCTCCACCTCTATCTCAGATAGATGGAAATGTAGAATTCTGATGCTTTGACACACTCGGGACAAAACAACTCCCTCTTGAGAACCAAGGACATTAGACATAAGGACCATGTTTTATTTTAAAGCCACAAAACAGGGAGCTTCTAATTTAAGATTTTTGGGTCACTCGAAAGTCTTTCCACAATCAGCTCAAGTGTCCTTTCCTCTGAAACCTCTTCCAATTCTCCACCCTGCACCCCCTCCTCCATGCTATAGGCTTCTGGACAGCACCATCACATCCAGCTGCCTGCTTTCCTTTTTCTGCCTCCCCCTAACTGGGCTATGGGTACAGGACAGAAATAGTCTTATTCATCTCTGTATCAACCTAACAATGCATCTGGCATACAGCCAGTGCTCAATATATGTCTTGCAGGAACAAAAAGAAGTAAAGTCTTAATCCATCTTAATCTTTTTATTAAAGCCTATACCACAATAAGAAAAGGGTCTGCCTAGGCAGGGCACAGTGGCTCACACCTGTAATCCCAGCACTTTGGGAAGCCAACGCAGGTGGATCACCAGGTTAGCAGATCAAGATAAGCCTGGCCAACATGGTGAAACCCTGTGTCTTCTAAAAATACAAAAATTATCTGTGCCATGTGCCTGTAATCCCAGCTACTTGGGAGGCTGAGGCAGGAGAATCACTTGTACCCAGGAGGCGGAGGATGCAGTGAGCAGAGATTACGCCATCGCACTCCAGCCTGGTGACAGAGCAAGACTCCATCGAAAAGAAAAGAAAAGAAAAAAAAAGAAAGAAAGAAAGAGAGAAAGAGAGAAAGAGAGAAAGAGAGAAAGGGAAAGGGAAAGGGAAGAAAGAAAAGAAAAGAAAGAAAAGGGTCTGCCTATCTGAGGGTGGCCTGCAGGCTTCTGTGGTGAGACAGAGAACTGATTGTCTTCTAGGGTCTGGATAGAATCAATGACATGTTTTTTTTCTTTTTGTGGTTCTCACCCACCCCTAACCTTGATTGAAGACAGCAACCACCTCAGTCCATCACAGGCAGGGCTTGGCCTTGTTTCAAAGCTGTTTGACCATCTCAGAACCCTCAACCCTTCAGGCTTCCTATCAATTCTGTTGTTCTTAATTAGAGCCATCACTTGAACCTGACTTACCCAATGGGCGAGAAAAACAGGCTTGCTAAGAAGGTGGTACCAAGAAGCTACGAGGCTGGGTTAGCATTCCACAGCAACTCCTGCCTCCAATGAGGGCTGCCTGCTGTGCAGTTCTGGCTTCTGTGAGACCTCAACCTACCATAATCCCTAGACAGTGACATTATGTCCACAACCAGTCCCACAGTGCCAGTTCCTGGGAAGCCAAGGGACTTGTTGAATAGGAAACCAGCACTGAGTTTTTTAAAGATGTGGGACATCTATTTAGTAGTCTCTGGCTAGCCCCAACATGCACATGAAAAGAGGAGAGGCTGCCATTAAAATGAAACTACTGGTGTGGAACATTCCCAGGCATAGGAAATCTAGATGTTGGAACCTCATGGAAAGTGAAAGAAGTGGGCTGGTGATCTTTAACAGGCCAGTGCAGGCCCAGTCCTGGGAGGAAGGACTGGGGAGCAGAAGGTTAATACCAGGCTGGAGTGCAGTGGCTCACTGTGACCTCCACCTCCTGGGTTCAAGCGATTCTCCTGCCTCAGACTCCCGAGTGACTGGGACTACAGGCGCATGATACCACGTCCAGCTAGTTTTTGTATTTCAGCACAGATGGATTTTCACCATGTTAGCCAGGCTGGTCTGGACCTCCTGACTTCAGATGATCCGCCCGCCTCGGCCTCCTAAAGTGCTGGGATTACAGGCATGAGGCGCCACGCCCCACAAACACAATTTTTTTAAAAGGTCGGGGGGTTGAAGAAAGTAAGAGTATGGAAGTGGCTCCATCCGACTGCTTCAGAAAGTACAAAAAGAAAAGGAAGCCGGGTCATGTGGTGTCCTTACTCTTCTCGGTCCCTCAAGAATTTCCCAGGAGGATGGACTCCCCTAAGAGGCTGCGGTGTGCTGGGGGCCCAATCCTGGTCCAGCCTTGTCGCTGGGCTAGGACCAGAGTTGATGGCGAAGTTCTGTTCCCACGGGGCGAGGCTCCTTTATTCCCACCTGGCCGAGTGGGGGCTTTCTACATTCCTCGGGTCCCGGGAGGTCTGGCCTCTGACACGGCCAGCTGCGCCTGGGTAGCAAGACCCCTTGGTGGCTGCGGTTCCTGACTCCTCTCTGGCAGCACAAGGTCAAGGGTTTGGGGGAGGGGCCCGGAGGCGCAGCTGCGGGGTCCCTGGAGCTCCCAGGCGGGGCCTGGTACCGGAAGCCCTTTCCCTCTGAGGCGCTCCTCTGTTCTCTCGGGGCGGCCACATTGTGGGGTCGGGCAGGTCGCGCCCTTCCCCCAGCTGAAGAGCAGCGCTCAGAAGAGCCCTTCCCCCCACCGCAGCGGCTCCTGGGTGAGAAAAAAACAAGGGCGGGCTTCGCGGCTGCTCGGAGCCGGGCATGCGCAGTGAGTGCCCTCCGCTGCTGCGGGGTTCCAGCGCCGTGACCACTGCCCTGGGTCCCTGGACACACCCCCTCCCCCGCCCGGAGCACCTACTTTTTCTTCACCAGGCCTCGGCTCAGTAAGGCCTGCCGCCTCCTCTTCTGCAGCTCAGCCCTCAGCCTCTTCCATGCATTCCTAGCAATGCCTCTCGGAAGTGGGGTTCCCTTCCTCTGAGTTCCCTGGGCTTTTTTTCTTTTCTTTTTGCATTTATTCTGCCTTGATTTTTAGCCATCTCTCAGGATGGCAGTACATCCTGGAGGTGGAAGGACTAGGTTCAAACCCTGGCCCCTACCACTTACAACCATATAAGCTTGGGCAAGTTACTAGACCCTCCTCTACACTACTGTTTGTCTGTAAAATGGAGGTAAGAGAATCATCCTCCCTACCTCCTGAAGATGTGTGAGATGAAATGAAATGATGCTTAGAAAGCACTTGGCACCGTTCCTATCACATGGTTAGCACTCAGCAAATATTGCCCATTAGGATTTAACCCGTGTTTTTACCCTTTCCCCAACACACCCCTTCTGGCTGGCTGGCTGAATTCAAAAGACTGAGCAAATTCCAGGGTAAACAAGATGGCACTATCCAAACAAGAGGAAGGAGAATATGTCCAAGAGCCAGGTAAACATGCTCTCTAACAGGTCCCATGACTGGAGATGCTCAGGATCAGAGGAACAAAATGGAACATGCCAGACTCCATGGGAGGTGTCACCTGACAGAGGAGCTGACTGGACAAGCCTGTCATCTTTAGTGAACAAAATATAATCCTTGGCACCTCCACTTGTAATTTCTGGGGTGACAGAAAGGTCAAGTGAGCACGACCACAGTGAGTGGGTCACGAGAGGCATTTCTGTTCTCAGGTTTCCTGTGATCAAGTACCTATAAGCAGCTAGGAATGAAGATTGGGAACCAGAAGGCCAAATATAAGAGGCATTCAGCACTAGAGATGCTCAGAAAATGCTGTTCCATGTCTAGAAGATGATGGATAAGTTAGCCAACTGCTGGAGTTTTTCTGGGAGCAAATACCATAAAATACAATTTGTGGAAGCATTACTGATAAGCTATGCTGCTGACATATACAGTATCAGGAACCATTCACCCTAAAACCTAAGCAATGAAAAAATGTTTAATAGTAACACTGAGCATCTATTTTTAAGTGGGAGCTTTTAAACTTGGACTTATTTTAGTCCAAAATCATTTACTTAGTGATGAGGTAAATGATTTGACTCATTTCATAACATGAACAGAAGGATTTTCTAATAATTTTTACGATGAACACAGAGATTCCCAGCAAGTTGAAACAAAGAGAAATGATACTGTTCTTGCCCTTAAGTTCATACTTTAGTAGAAGGAACATATTTGTAAGTTTCAATATCCTGTTTTAATCTGTGTCAGGGCTTCAAAGTTGAACCCCAAATCTGCCTGCAGATTTTGTTTGACTGTTACAGAGGTTTGTAAAATCTAAAATGGAATATCGTTATTAGGGCATGAATGGCCCAGTTCAGTACAGCCCCCACCACTCCCTAACACTTTCTTTACACACTGGCACTGCCTCCTGGATTCTGAAAGCTTTTCAGTTGGCAAGCAGGATCTGTACTTTTCTTTCTAAGTATGTTTACGCCTTTGGCCAAAAGCAACACAATTTGGACCCAATAATCTGCAATCCAAAGACATGCTCTGAAGGACATGTAATGCCGTAAACTGTTGTGGGCAGTTTTTGAGAGCCAAGCATTGTGATAGGTTCCAGGGATACAAAATGAATGAGTAAGGATCCCTGTTCGATAAGCACTTAAGATACTGAAATGACAAAGGCACCAAATAAAAGTGAGGAATATTGAAAATAGGATGTTATGTGAGAGGATATGGCTATAGAATTTAAAGTTTGCTGATTCTAGACAAAAAATAAATTCCTTAGAAAGAAATATTCCTGGCGGGGCATGGTGGCTTATGCCTGTAATCCCAACACTTTGGGAGGCCAAGGCAGGTGGCTCACCTGAGGTCAGGAGTTCAAGACCAGCCAGGCCAACATGGTGAAACCCTATCTCTACTAAAAAACAAACAAACAAACAAACAAAAACTAGCCGGGCACAATGGCTTGCACCTGTAATCGCAGCTACTCGAGAGGCTGAGGGAGGAGAATGGCTTGAACCCAGGAGACGGAGATTGTGGTGAGCCGAGATCATACCACTGCATTCCAGCCTGGGAGACAGAGAAAGATTCTGTCAAAGGAAAGGAGAGAGGAAAGGAGAAAGGAAAGGAGAAAGGAAAGGAGAGGAGAGGAAGAGGGGGAGGGGGAGGGGGAAAGGGAAAGGGAAAGGAAAGGGAAGGAAGGGAAAGGAAAGGAAAGGGGAAAGGAAAGGAAGAGAAAGGAAGAAGAAAAGAAAAGAGGAGAAGAGGGGAAGGGAGGGGAGAGGAGAGAGGAGGGGGGAGGGAGGGGAGAGGAGGGGGGAGGGGGGGAGGGGAGGGGAGAGGGGAGAGGATTCCTAGAATAGAGATGAAGAATCACTGACATTGATTGTTCTTAACATATCCCAGAACCTGCTCTAAGCATTTTTCATGGATTATGCTCAGAATGAGTAGGAATTTGGATATCCCCATTTTACAGATGAGGAAACAGAGGCACAGAGAGATTAATTACCTAACGCAGGGTCATATAATAGCTGGCAGACAGCAGAGCCACACTTGGAACCAGGCACTCCGGCCACCAGTGCTCACACTTTTAACACTATTCTACACTGTATCCTGGAATAACCTATCACTAGGCTGTACTGACTTCTTGCAAATACCATTTGGGAACCAAAAATTTTCTTTTCAAAGTTCATCAAGCCAATTCTGTGATATTTAGTATCCTGAGAGAAATTACTTTGTCCAAGAATAAAACCTAACATATGTAAGTGACAGGTCTAGTTTTTAAGCTAATAGAAATTAATAAATGTGGTATTTGTTTATAAATCAGTCTCTTATGAGTTTAGATTGTGTGAATCATTTCCCAAATTCCAGTCACTCTTGCACCATGCTGAGAAAAAACAAGCCTCCACAGGTGATGTGTATGTACATCAAAGTTTTAAAAGCATTAGCTATAAGGTAGAAATGAGGTAAGACATTTGCCTTTAAGTGCCTGCCATCAATCAGCAAAAGGAAAAAAAGGCTTTTTGAACACATACATTTTTATTTAGTCATTCATAAACTTCATGTACACACTACTATATTTAATATGCAATAAGATACACATAAATATACATTTTAATTTTTTTAAAAACAGATTGAAGTAGATATTTCATTGCCCCCAGTGGACTATCTGGCACACTTCCTAAGATGCCTATATTCCTGATTTTGGAATCTACATACCTTACATCAAGGATCTTATCTAAGGGCTGGACCATCTAACTTAAACCAGTATCTTCCAGTCATTGAAGACTTCCCAAAACCCAAATCAAGAATAATTTCTACACTTAAAGAAAATCCTGTGCATTGTTGCTTTGTCAATGAAGCATACCAGAATGCATCTGAGAGCAGGGGTTTTGGGAAATCTACATCCAGGTGATGTTTTTAAATAATTCAAGACTATTCTTATATGTCTTAATTTACAAACATTCTCTAATAAGCATGAACTATACTTGGTTGCTTCACCTCTCAGGGCTGGGAAAGTGGAAGAAACTGAAAGAATACTTGTTAACTGCATGACTGTCTTCCAGCCAAAGTGAGGCGATCTTTGTCGTCTGGTTTAATGCAAAACATGCAGATATTCCCCTTTACCACACTCTTCTTCCCTAAGAGTGAGACTATCCCAGAGGCAGCATGCTGAGCAGAGCCATCTCTTCTTATGTAGCATTCTATTGAGCAGAACATGAATTTAGCTACCTGTAAGGTATAATTCAGAGATTCAAGAGTTTTGCAAAGATGACTTGTCTTTGGAGTCTTGAGCTGCCCTGTCACAAATTCAACAACTCTGTGGCTGCGTTGCTGAGAGGAAGCCCTGGCCACATGGAAAGGCTGCATATAAGTGTTCAGTCTGACAGCCAGCATCAGCCACCGGACATGTAAGCGAAGACACCTCTAGATGATTCCAGCCCCCATCTGTCGAGTCACCCCAGCTGTTTCCAGAGAACAGAGAGCAACTATCCCACTATGCCTGTTGGAATTCTTAACCCACAAAATCCATGAGCATCAATTGGCTGTTTTATGCCACTAAATTTTGGGGTGATTTTTATACTGCAATAGTAAAATTCTCTGTGAGATTCTGAAGTGCTCTCTGAATTATTATGGAAAGAAGACATTATGTTTAGTGTTAAAGGGCCTTATTTATTTTCAAACTCAGGGTAACAGGGCAGTCATTGATTATTAAAATATACAGGGGACTCTCTAACAACAAGATTTATTAAACCCCCATCATCATTTCCTTTGTGTACCAGCACACAGCCATTTACTATATTTGCAGAATAATGGTGGCAGTAGTCACTCTGCTGTCTCCTGTGAAGCAACTCTTTTGTTCTCTCTCCTCTCTCAGAAATGAATTGCCCCTTCTCCTCTTCCAGCTCTTCCCCTTCTCTCTATTGCTCAGGCCGGGAACTCAGGAATCATTTTTAGATGTTCTCTCTTCCTTGCCCCTCACACTGAATCCATCATTGAATCCTGAGTGATCTACCTTCATGACATAGCCTGGAAGCAATCTGCAGCTCTCCCCATGTAGGTGGTAGAAGTACCGTAATCCATGTGAGTGGCACCCCCTAGAGTTCATGAGTACATGGCGGCCTGACCACTGGAAATGCCCTGCTCCAGGCACATCAGTTCTGCCCTGACCCCAACTATGTTCTTCCTGCTGCTCTCACAGCTCCTACTCTCCCTGTCACAATCTGTAATTCACACAACACCCAGAGTGACTTTCCAAAATAGTCACCAGAACATTGTGTACCTAAATGGAATCCAAACTTCTCACTCAGCTCTGATGACCAGGCCCTTCCTTGTCTCCTCTCCAACCTCCTTTTCTTCCACTTTCTCCCTCCCTCACTCCCAGCCAGCCACCTTGGCCTTAATTCACTTCTGTGAAGTTGCACTCCCTCCCCCAGCCCTCTGGGACCTTTGCTCATATCTTTATCCAGCCTGAAACGTTTCCCCCATCTTCTCATCGCCCCCAATTTCTCATGGCCAGTCTCCGTTTAAATGTCACTGCCACCTCAAGAGACCTTTTCCTAACCACCTTTTGTTAGTATCATAGCACACTCAGCTTTCTCCATAGCCGTCTTCTCAGTTTATAAGTACCTATTCATTCATTTCCTTTACCTGTTTACTTCCTGTCTCTCCACTACACTGTAAGCTGCTGATGCAAGGACCAGGCCTGTGTCCATCACCAGTACAACCCCAGCACCTAGCATGGTGCTTGGCACATAGCAGGTTCAGTCAGTACATGCTGAATGAATAAGTTTACTTGCACATTGTGTAGCAGTAGACTGTGGTACCCCACTCCACTCCCACCTCCAGAACTTTTATCTTCCTACCAGTTGACCACAGACCAATGGTTCTCAAAGTGCAGTGCCCACCCAGCAGCATTAGCATCACTGGAACTTACTAGAAATGCAGATTCTCAGGCACCACCCTGTACCTCCCAAATCAGAAACTCTAAG